GTGGCCAAATAAGCCCATCCGCTGTAGGAATATGCGTGAAAAGTGAAAGCTGAAGCGGCAAGTGTATGTGGGGACTCCTGGCACTGATGCATCGGTCTCAGTGCAATGGATCCGCAAGTGAACGACTAGGCCGACGCGTGAGACCAATGTGCGGTTGTAATGAGGACAGGTTAGGACCGAGTACACACAACTGGATGTGGGGATGGCAACAGTGAGGGTGGTCGGTGGCGGTCCTTCGGGAGAGTTTTGTTCAGTGGCGAGAGTTGGGCTGAGGTTGTAAGAGTCATCAATACGGAGGTTGTGGCAGGGATGATGCAGTTGACGGTGGTGGATAGCGGCAGGGCACAGGGATTCGAAACAACGGCGATGAGGGCGGTCCTCGTAGTGGAGGTCGTGGGGATTTGAGCAGGGCCGGTGAGGAAGGCGGCAGTTGGGCATATCGAGCTGGAATAATGAATCCAGAGGTGTGCGATGAGGCTGATTCGCGCACGGAATGTTCGTTGAAAGCGTCGGCAAATTTGAAGTGGTTGACGGTGGGTGTTGTGGGTCTTAGGTACATGAGCTTTGCAAGTTTCCCATTTCGACTTTGGCAGCGACGATCCGGTTGGCTTCATAAATGCTTACTCTAGTCTTCCCTGCATTTTTCCGGGCGGACGACCCTGAGCGAGGTCTTCCTAAGTCTTTGGATGGATTTGCAGCCGCTTCCATGAATTCTCTAAGGTATCCAGGTAGTGCCAGGTTCGACATCCTTGAGGGCGAACACCCCTAGAAGGGTTGCTTTGGTAGATGTTCGTCATCCATTCTCACGAGGTGGCCACTTCATCAGTGTTGCGGTTGCCTCAGAATGGTGTTGATGCTGAGGATTCCAGTCCGTTTCGGAACTTCTGTCTCCAGGATCCCGTCCTACCACCTCATGTTTATTATCCCCAGAGTGAGTGCTGCAAGGGTCCCGTCGTCCTTGACGTGCGCCATCATTCGTCCTAGAGCTGACGCACCATGTGCGTGCATCTCTAAGGACAGCGCAGGTCTGCTTTTGATGCAGACTCCAGGAAAGCATGCAGGTCCTCGGAGAACTTGATGAACGTCCTCGTCAGAACTGGTCAAACGAGAGAGGTAGGCGCTGATGGTGGTGACGAATTTAGATCCCCGAATGGGCGGGCGTAGTGTTGTGACAGTTCGCTCAACTTGTCGTAGCCACTTTGTCTCAGAGGTATTTGCAGTAGTAAGCGGAGTGAAGCAGGGCTGCATACTCACTCCTAACCTCTCCAGTCTCACGTCGTCTGCCATGCTGCCGGACGCCTCCCGTGATGATCACCTCGGGATCCGCATTGCCCTCAGGACCGATGGCCTTCTTCCATACAGCCGGCGTCTACAGGCCTCAACGCGTCTCTCCACGACTACAGTCCACGACCTCCTCTACGCTGAGGACTATGCACTCAACACCGAAGGCAGAAGCTGACACGCAACGGAGCATGAAACTCTTCACCTCTGACTACGCTCAATCGGGGCTCACCACCAACACGAACAAAACGGTGGTCATTCCTCAACCGCCACCGAGAGCTGCATACAGTGTTCCTCCAATTCACGTCGACAGCGGCGAGCAGAATATCGTGGACAACGTCGTCTTATTATGCAACACACACTCCCACTGCATTAAAGTCGGTGACAAAGTTGCCCAACGGATCTTGGAAGCCAGCCAAGGTTTCAGCCGTCTGTAGAACTCCCTATGAAATCGGTACGGTTACCACCTCAACATAAAGCCGAAGATGTGCAAAGTGATCATCTTGACGAATTTTTTGTGTGGGGCGGATGGAAGTGAACCGTTTACGAGAATCAAGCACGGAAGTTCAATTACCTTCACCTGCGAGTCGTTGCAAACCCGAATTTCGAGCAGCAGGGTCAACCACCTAAATGGCGTGCCATTGCAGGAGGTAGACGCTCAGAAGGACTTGGTTGTGTGCGTCGCGGCCTCACTTAAACCGTCACCCCACTGCTCCAAGGTAGCACACAGCGTAAGTGATGAGGAATGACGCAAAATCACAGATCGCAGCTCCTTCGACGGGACCGGCCATGCCTTCAAGTTTGATGATACCAAAATCCTCACAAGAGGTGACAACCGCGTGAGATGCTTGGGGCATGAATCTCCGAGTCGCATTCAAGCAACCAATGCAATGACCTTTCGCCTGCATATACTGTGCAGTGATTTTGCCTGGGAAAAATTACTTGCCACGCGGGGAGGGTGCAAGTGTCCAGCAGTTCCAGCGACAGCAAGTCAAATTGTTGAGCAATAAGCACGCCAAGCATCGACAGCGATGGTGGAAGCATGGCAAATAACGACTCGCGTACGGACCGACAAGCAATCATCGCATCACATAGGCCCACCAACGATGAACATGAGTACTATGAAATATAGTAGGCGTGAGGTTGCATGGCCACCACGCCCCAAAAGTAATGCGCACCCTGTGATCACAGCTACCCCTTTTCAGCGATTGTCTCTGATTATGGGTTCGAGTGCGAACCCTCTAAGGTCAGGGCAATAAATTTCTTGTTCGCGGCGGTCGCAACTTTGTCTTATTCTGATAGCTTGTTATTAGTCTCAGAGCACCATCGCAGGCATGAAGTGCAGCGGCAAAAAATCGGTGAAGCAGGCGTGTATTAATCTTTTGCTAGTTCATACGGTGAGCCAAAGCTGATCAGCATTTTTAAACCCTAGTGAATGCCTGCTGCAAACCTGCGAACAATACTCAATTATTCCACAATCCCTAGGCTATCCCGGCACAAAAAATCATATCAACATCAAGATCGAGTCTGAAGGAATTTGTTCCAAAAGACTTGCTTCAAGTTAAACACATCAAATTCCAAGGATGCATGCTGACGAGTTCGCACTGAGTGAGATCAAACACGGCGCCTCTAAGGTAGCACAACACTCCACATACCCAGCCCTCCTACTGGCATATAGATGAACCCTGTGCAACTCCACTGCTCATCAATTGCCTATCGTCAATTCAACTATTTATGCCAAATCGCATTCCCTGCTGGCTGCCACCGCGGCATCCTCTACTCACACCCGACTTCAATGAGAAAACAAAAAATGCATACTTTCAAATATACTCTTGTATATTTCATCTTCAACTGCATACAGGTGGGAATAGGGATCGGTGTGCGGCGCGATGGGGTTGGGCGTGCGAGGATGCCGTCAACGTCAAAAAATCTCGGGATTCTCGTCGAAGTCCTTCTCCTCGGAGATCAAGCAACAACACAGCCGACGACAAACTCGACGAAGGAAGCGACCCACGCCAGATCGACGCTAAAACAAAGGAGTGTGATTTGTCAGGCAAATGAATACTGACTTGCACACAGACGGTCGAACATATCGAGACACCATCAACTCAATAGATCAAAGTAAGTAGCTTACGCGTCGGGAGCCCACGGCTACTTCCGCCACCACGTCATCTCCTCCCTTGCAAATAATGCTCACTGCTGTTTCGTACGACCTAGTGACGCTGCTGGCAGGCCACTTCACATCTGCAAAGACAAACAATCCAGAAGGGTAAGCCTATGCAGTGGTCTGAAGTCGGCGGCGATTGCACAAACACTGTGCTGTCAATTGAAAATCATAGGCAACCTAGGATGTCTGCATGATCTGCAAATATAATTCATTGAACAAAATCTTGTTTTTAGGAAGGAGGCTGCTTACTTGACTTCCTTTTGACAAGAAGTCTTGGCCAGGCTCTGTGGGCTGCGTAGACGAGACAATTTTCCTGTGTGGCTGCCTCACATAGGTCGCCAGCTGCCTGCACGGAGAACTTGGCGCGCCGCATCCGGACGAGCGGCAGTCGGCCAACTTCACTACAATCAGAAAGAGAAACAGAGTCGCGAACTATTGCAACCGCATCAGGTGGCTCCAGCTGTTCTCGATCCTAATAGCAACAATCATTAAGGAATTCGACAGTGCACATTGGAGCAAACCCACAAAGGGCACTTACCTCGACTCCATGAGCTTGTCCGAACGCCACACCGGCAGTGGCGCATGCACGCGCATTTCCGTCGGTGTGGCGGCTACTGAGTGCTCCGACACCCAGTCTGCGGAGCAGCTCACTGTGGATGCCGTCCCACTCTCCAGACTTGTGAGGAGAGCGATGTCCACCTCGGTGGACATCTCCTCGTCCGGAATTGCTAGTTCCGGTGGGAGGTTGTGCATGTTCACCTCCTCCTGTACAAGGCACCGCTTCACATCGAAAGTACGACCAAATGGCATTGTGACTAAGGAGTCGGTATGGCGTGGAGTTCGTACAGGCAAGGAGTGTTCAGGAGATATCCTGGATGCTGGTTGGTGGGATTTTGTTGAGCTGGAAGCAAGGGAGGCGGGTGGAGGACGGTAGTTGGAGGAATTGGAAGAAGGGGTCTGGGACTGAGGCTGGTGCCGGTGTCGGCGACGAGATCGGGGAGATGGGGATCCCTGATCGGGATGCGAGACGGCGTGGAGAGAGCTCTGTACTGAGTCCTCATCGCCACCATCGCAAGCTTGTGATAATACCGTAAGTGAACTACCTGAAAGACAAGTGAATGCACATTGCCAAACCATAATCACAGAAACAACAGGGTGTAAATACTCATCAGAAATTCTGTCATTATTCACTGTCACTGTAGGAAGCGTGCAACCCTCAATCATTGAAAACCACACGCGACATGAGATGGCGACTTTGGCTCGAATACATCCCAACACACTCCATATCTTACCAGCGGTGAATATGAAGTGGAAGACTCCCTAGTCATCGCCTAAACCCTTCACAAATAAATTCGCTCATCCCCACTCCCTCCCCTAGCACACAGAAGATTAACTTAGAACTACCTAGCCGTATGAGGGTTGCTTGTCTGAGATAATTGGGGATGGAGGACTGGAAAAAATGTTCTTACGAAAATATCTCTTCTGTCAATTCAGTAAAATACAGGGAGTACAACAGGACGGAGTGGCTCACTAATGATCCCTAATGAAGACGCCGATAAGCTCTGAATCTACCCTGACAGGCACTCACTAGGCAAGTGAATGCTATCATAGGCAAAATATCCAGTATGCATATTGAACCGAGGCAGTGAGCAGCTTCTAGAAAGTATCTGTAAAAGGGTAGACTATCGAAGGCTTATGAGAGTGAAGCTGCATATTTTTAGGCATCTTGCATGTCTTTTAAAGCATTCTGCTGAGTGAAAGCTGCTGCTCAGAATTAAGCAATCTCATCTATCTGGCGTCTAATGAAAGCAAACCAATAATTCAAGAAATTTATAAAAATCAACAAATCCTTGTAATGTCCTCCAGCTGATAGTTAAAGTCCCGAGAATTATTAAATAAAGTCCAACTGCGGGTTGGATTCAGATTAATAATAATAATAATAATAATAATAATAATGTCACAGGACTTACCGTATTGTTCTACAGATTCTGCTGTGATGGCTCGATACTGCCTACGTTCTACATCATACGTACGAAGTAGAAGGTAATACAGGAACTCGAGTCGTGCAGCTAAGAAGCTCAGGAGGAGATACGGCGAAGTAGGCATCCTCAACAGAACTGACAGTCTGGCTACCTTCAAACGCAGTAATTATTGATCCGTCCTGTCCAACTCCCGACTATCGACCCGAAACCCCTTCTGAGTCGTGGCCAACCACGTGGTGAGGGCAGCAACCTACAGGCATGGGTTGCACGTGGACCGTAAAATCGGTCACTGGGCCTGCAGAACCATGGACGCCGAATTTCAGCACACAGTCCCATATTTCATCGTTAAAGGAGATATTCGGAAACAACAATCATCTTTGTAACCTATGAACAGCACGTGATCTATCTCATGAAATCTGATAACGGAATCTGATGCGAGAATTTCTGGACGTCTTTATCTTAGCTCATTTTGTTCGCTCAATCACATCCTTCAATGAATTGTCGTTTTCTTGTGCAGAAATTGTGTTTAGGTTATTATATCAAATAAAAAATGAGTGAAATTTAGCGAAAATGGGCGTTGTAATATATCCGTGCAATTTCCTATACTGGTACATGGCCTTGACTCCGGTTACGCAGCTGAGCGACTTTTTAGCCTAATATGAAAATTTATTTGATGCCCGATTTTGATGGGTTGACAACGAGGCCAAATTTTTTGCGGCGGTCAAACGCCCTTGCAAGATATTCTATGTGTTCTTAAGGGATGGATCTATTTACCAAGAGATCGTCAATAGGGGCATAAACATAGGGAAGGTCATGAAGCATTCTGCCTATGAATATCCAGAAGGTCTGGGAGACGTTTCGAGCCTCAGATGCCATATGCGGAAACTCAAAGAGGTCAAGGAGAATAGTAACGACAGTGTTTGTACGTCCTCCGGGGCGATTGCGATGTGACACAGGGCCCGGACCAGGCCGATTTTCGAAAAGACAGACTTTTAGAATAGGTCATCGACAAAATCATGAAGATGCGAAACAGGGTAGCAGTCCGGGATGGTGTAGTTATTCAGTACCCGACAGTCACCGCAGGGACGCCAGTCACCTGTGGTAGCCTCAAGAACCATGTGATGGAGGTGAGGACCAAGTACATTCAGATTGGCGCCAAGTTGGCGGGATATTTCTGACGAAGGGCTAACCCAGACGTTGAGTTTGATGGTTAACTCGTGTGGACGGAAATGACAAGAAGGCCAAAAGTGGGGAGGAAGACTGCACCGAGAATAGCGCATTGAACGCC